ACGCCCTCGATGATCTCGAGATGGTGCCGCTCTGCGTACGACGCTGGCGTCACGAAGAAGTGGCCGCCCCGGTTGATGAGATTGGCAATGAGGTCGTCAGGCACTAAGAACAAGACGACGCTCTCATGGTTCGCCACGATGTCTTTCAGAGCGCCCCTGGACCACTGCGAATTGCCAATCTCCCCATCCAGCGCACCGTTGGCCAAGAAGTTCGTCATCGTGGGCTGCCCCTGGAAATGATCAGCCTCCAGATCTATTGGCATGCCAATCGGGGAAGATATCCAATCGCAGAACCAAGTAACGTAGGAACCAGACAAATGCACGCGAGTCATGCCCCTGCTGCTGATCTTCAACCACCAATCTTGCACTCGCGAATCCTGGGGGCGCCCAGATACCAAAAAAAATGATAAGGAAGGTTTGTCGGAGGTCAGAGGGGGCCCGAGGTCCGAGGGCGAGGGGTGGTAAGGGAGAGGGCCCAGGAGGAGATTGCAGGGCGAAGTGCCCCACTTGCCCCACTTGGACCAAGTGGGGCAAGGGTGCATTTTTGACGAGTGGGGCAAATGGGGCAAGTCGGGGCCCCCTCAAACGTCTCTTTCTCATCCTCCTCGTCCTCGTCGCCCTCGCCGTCCCTATCGCCATGCTCCTCATCGCCCTCCCCTCGTCTCCGACCTCGGACCTCCGACATCCCCCTCGTCCACCTCTCCATTTGCCCCGCCATCCCCCCTCGTCGCCCCTCGCCCCCCTCATCGTCGCCGTCGTCACCCTCCCCTCCCCCCCCTGGACGCGCGAGGACGTCGGGACTTTAACCCCGCGGTCCTCCTGCGAATACTTCGGGTTCTGGTTCAGAGAAGCCACGGCGCGCAAAGTGGGAGGCACCTCGCGGCCGCGCTGCATCCGGCTGCGCCGCTCGATGCCTGGGCGGCTCCGCAGGAGGATCGCGCATGGCAGCTTGAAGCGGCGGCGGTCGCGGAGGTCGCGCCGAGCCGCTGGAGGAACAACGGGGGGCGCTGGGATCATCTGGCGCTCCTCTCAAAAACCTTGCAGCCCAAATGGCTGGGCCGCAAGCGCCGCGCGGCACCCCGCGCGTGTCGCGCGGCACCGAGCAACGCGATGCGGCCCCCTGCAACCACGGCACGGCACGCACCCCACGGCACCTCGCGCACAGAGTGGCGCCGCGGCACCACACATCACCGCACCGCACCACGCTCGCGGCCCCACGGCACGGCACGCACCGCACCACCGCGCCGGGACACCACGGCAAGGCATTCACCGCACGGCACGCTGCATCACCGATCGCACCACGCGGCACCACACTAACAGCACGCCCCTGATTCCCGTGCGCACCGCGCGGCACCGCTCACGCGTGCCACGTGAGCACCCATCCAAACATTTGTCCGCCAAAAAACAAAACACCTCTTAGGGGGGGGGGGTAGCAATTCCTTGCAATGAGGATAATCCAATGTTTCACATCGGTAAACGTGTCTATGTGAGTTCCGAAACAACACGAAAACATGTTAACTTGAAAACCAAATGAGAAAAACCCAATGCAAAATTCAAGTTTCAAATCGCCCAATGCGTTAAATCGATGTGGAAAAAAGAAAAGAAAAAAACTCATGTAAACCCGAAGACCCAATCATACAAAAAAAAAAAAAAAAACATAATGTGAAATTCATGTTTCAGATCGTGCAAGGTTTTCAAGGTAGAGTGTTCTATTGTCGACTATACAATACTCCAACGCGCGCGCGGGTGACCATGGTCACCCGCACGCGCGGGTGACCACCTTCGGCCTCCTTAAAGAGCCACAGAAATTTCAAATTCATTTTCTAGAATTACATGTAGACGTATCTATGGTGGACAATACAATACTCAACGCGCGCGCGGGTGATCATGGTCACACGCACGCGCGGGTGACGCGTGTCGGTTGGCGTCGGCCTCCTTAAAGAGCCACAGAAATTTCAAATTCAGTTTCTGGAAATAGATGTAGACTTTTCTATTGTGGACAATACAATACTCCAACGCGCGCGCGGGTGACCATGGTCACCCGCGCGCGCGGGTGACCCGTGTCACCGTCGGCCTCCTTAAAGAGACACAGAAATTTCAAATTCAGTTTCTAGAATTACATGTATACTTCTCTACTGTAGACAATACAATACTCCAACGCGCGCGGGCGACCATGGTCACACCCGCACGCGCGGGTGACCCGTGTCACCGTCGGCCTCCTTAACGAGCCACAGAAATTTCAAATTCAGTTTCTGGAATTACATGTAGATTTTTCTATTGTGAACAATACATACGACGTGTTAGCCCGAAAACCCAATGAGAAAAACCCAATGTAAATTTCATATTTTAAACCGCCCAAGGTTTCCAATCGATTTCGAAAAACCACAGAAAATGCATGTTAACCCGAAAACCCAATGAGAAAAACCCAATGTAAAATTAATGTTTCAGATCGCCCAAGGTTTTCAATGCATTTCTGGAAAACCACTGGTTTACCCTTAAGGGCATCCATGGATTTCTGGGCGCTTAGATCACATACTACGAACATATACATTTGTCAAAAGGAAGGAAGCGGCAGTACGCGGCCCGAATTCCGGAGAGGTCCCGGCCCGGGCCGCGCGCCGGCGCATGCGCGGCATCGGCGGGTCGGCAGTCTCCTGAACTGAATTATCAATGATCAGCGGAAGTTCGTTTGCGTCGGCGATGCACCGACGTGAAAGACGCGCAACGCGCGCTGCGGAACGAACCAGTTCAACGCATGTGTCACGCGCGTGCGATATGCGAAGCAATTCCATCAAACAAACATTCAAGCGATTTGTAATGGAAAAAACAACAACAACAGGAAACACATGTTAGCCCGAAAACCACATGAAACAAACCCAATGCACAAAATCATGTTTCAGATCCTCCAACGTTTTCAATCGATTTCGAAAAGCCATGGAGAAAGCATGTCAACCCGAAAACCCAATGAGAAAAACCCAATGTAAAATTCATGTATCAGATCGTCCAAAGTTTCCAATCGATTTCGAAAAAGCACAGAAAACGCATGTGAACCCGAAAACCCAATGAGAAAAACCCAATGTAAAATTAATGTTTCAAATCGCCAAAGGTTCCCAATCGATTTCGAAAAACCACAGAAAACGCATGTTAACCCGAAAACCCAATGAGAAAAACCCAATGTAAAATTAATGTTTCAGATCGCCCAAGGTTTTCAATGCATTTCTGGAAAACCACTGGTTTACCCTTAAGGGCATCCATGGATTTCTGGGCGCTTAGATCACATACTACGAACATATACATTTGTTAAAAGGAAGGAAGCGGCAGTACGCGGCCCGAATTCCGGAGAGGTCCCGGCCCGGGCCGCGCGCCGGCGCATGCGCGGGTTCGGCGACCACCAGCGCATGCATGCACAAATTCGGAAGGACAAGCGCCATCAACAGCGTGGGTTAAGTTTTCTTGGCAACGGAAACGACGGGACACGCTTCCTGAAACGAGCTCGAAGGAACCTTTGTTTCGATCCGTCATGTCGGAAGCATTTGGCACGAACAGCTACTGATATGCAAATTTATGCGTACCGTAACAAACTACAGATGTTCATTCCCACTATGTATTATGGTTTTCGGTGTGCACGGGCTGAAACCCCATAAACAAAAATCCGTTCAAGTTCCCGCGCAGTTTTTTTTTGTCTACCTACCACCTGAATTGCGTGCACTTCCCAAACGCAAAGAAACACACTTTTTCGTGGCGTGCATCTGAAAAAGGCTCTGCCCCCCCCCTCCCCCCGCTGGATGAGCTAGGCAGCGTGGACCTTTAGATTTCGCGCGACGACGCTGTGAAACTGCAACGACGCCGCGGACTCCGTACCAGTGCCCTTCTTCGCGGATTGCATTCAGGCTAGTTCTGTGATTTCTGCGATTCCCTTCCCCTGTGTGCGTTTTGTTTGAAAACCATTGTTTTAGGTTGGCGTAAATTGCGCGCTTGAATCTACATCTCAAAAACTAAACGAATCCCAAGGGCGACGCCGACGCTTTGTCATCTTCGACGTTTCGGCGGCTAGGGCGCGGCCCCGCGCGCTCATCATAGGCCCGACGAGGCAGGCCCCTTGGGGCCCTGCAGTGGCGTCGGCATCGCGCCACGCCACCGGCCCCGCGGACGGCGTCCACCCAGCGCCACCGCCTCCTCATTCACGACCGGGCACGCCCTGACGGGCTGGCGGGCGTGTCGTGCGGCCTCTTCTGGGAGCCATCGGGGGGGGGGGGGGCCCAGGGAGGGCTGGTCTGACCGCGTGCTGGCCCCGTGACCCAACGGGGCTGTGTGACCGCGTGTTGGCCGTGACCACCGCTCCAATACAGAGCCCCTGCGACGCGAGTAGAATTGACGGCGGCGGGAGACCCCCAGGGAGACGTCCACTGTCTACTCAAACGGGATTGTGACGACGTCCGTTGGGTACCAGACCTGTGACCACAAGGAGCCCCAATAAGAGCTTCATGACGATCCAAACGGCCTTCAAGAAAACCGGAAGCGAGTACCACGAGAGCCCCCAACTGCTACATTTTGAACACGAGGAGGGTAGTGGCAACCCTCTTTCCTGTCGGCCACAAGAGAAGGCCCGAGAGGACCCCAAGAGAGCCGCCCAAATCAACAACAACTTAACGTGAGCCCCAATAAGAACCCAAGGGCTGACTAAACGTCCAAAGCAAGCCTCCGGAGGGCACACATAAACCTTGAGAGTCCCCCCCCATCCCATCCCACGTTGGACATTGCTGGGGCCTGCTCTGGTGGCTGACCCTAGACTCTATGTGACTGGTGTGCTCCTTTTGGCTTTCATGGGCGCTCCTCCACTTCCCTCCTCGCAGTCCCTCGTTTACGAATCAATTCTGTTTGCGCTGGGGGTCCATAAGAGGCGCCAAGAGTTGGTTATGCTTCCAGGCGCGCGCGAAATCGAATATCCAATCCCCATGGCTTTCGTCTACAAGTGGCATGATGGCGCGGCTACGGCCCGCCTCCGTGGTGGAGACGGTGGTGGCGGAAACAGTAGCGGCGGCAGTTGCAGTGGTGCTGCTTACGGTGGTACTGCTTGTCGCTGTAGAGGTGGAGACACTGGTGGTAGCAACAACGGAGGTCGCAGGAGACGTGCTCACAATAGAGGTCGTCCCCGCTGCGCTGCTCGCAGTGGCACTGCTCACGGCAATACTGCTCGAAGCCGTGGTCGTGCTCAACTCCGTTGAGCTTGTCAGCGTCGAGGTGCTCGTGCCTGTCGTGCTTGTCAGCGATGTCGCGCTGGTCCCTGTCACGCTTGTCACACTGGGTGTGCTGGTCTCGCTGGTGCTCGTGAACGTGGTCAAGCTTGACTCCGACATGCCCGTCAACGAGGCCGTGCTTGTCTCAGACATGCTGGTCACGCTGGTGGTAGTTGACCCTGTCGTGCTCGTCCAGGACGTCGAGCTCGTCTCCGACGCGCTCGTCACAGAAGACGTGCTGGTCTCTGTGGTGCTCGAGGACGTGGTCGTGCTCGACTCCGTGGTGCTTGTCAGCGTTGATGCGCTGGTGCCTGTCGTGCTTGTCAACGATGTCGCGCTGGTCCCTGTCACGCTTGTCACACTGGTTGTGCTTGTCTCGCTGGTGCTCGTCAACGTGGTCAAGCTTGACTCCGACGTGCTCGTCGACAACGTCGTGCTTGTCTCAGACATGCTGGTCACGCTGGTGGTAGTTGACCCTGTCGTGCTCGTCCAGGACATCGAGCTCGTCTCCGACAGGCTCGTCACAGAAAGCGTGCTGGTCTCTGTGGAAGCCGTGGTCGTGCTCGACTCCGTGGTGCTTGTCAGCGTTGATGCGCTGGTGCCTGTCGTGCTTGTCAACGATGTCGCGCTGGTCCCTGTCACGCTTGTCACACTGGTTGTGCTTGTCTCGCTGGTGCTCGTCAACGTGGTCAAGCTTGACTCCGACGTGCTCGTCGACGACGTCGTGCTTGTCTCAGACGTGCTGGTCACGCTGGTGGTAGTTGACCCTGTCGTGCTCGTCCAGGACATCGAGCTCGTCTCCGACAGGCTCGTCACAGAAAGCGTGCTGGTCTCTGTGGAAGCCGTGGTCGTGCTCGACTCCGTGGTGCTTGTCAGCGTTGATGCGCTGGTGCCTGTCGTGCTTGTCAACGATGTCGCGCTGGTCCCTGTCACGCTTGTCACACTGGTTGTGCTTGTCTCGCTGGTGCTCGTCAACGTGGTCAAGCTTGACTCCGACGTGCTCGTCGACGACGTCGTGCTTGTCTCAGACGTGCTGGTCACGCTGGTGGTAGTTGACCCTGTCGTGCTCGTCCAGGACATCGAGCTCGTCTCCGACAGGCTCGTCACAGAAAGCGTGCTGGTCTCTGTGGAAGCCGTGGTCGTGCTCGACTCCGTGGTGCTTGTCAGCGTTGATGCGCTGGTGCCTGTCGTGCTTGTCAACGATGTCGCGCTGGTCCCTGTCACGCTTGTCACACTGGTTGTGCTGGTCTCGCTGGTGCTCGTGAGCGTGGTCAGGCTTGACTCCGACGTGCTCGTCAACGACGTCGTGCTTGTCTCAGACATGCTGGTCACGCTTGTGGTAGTTGACCCTGTCGTGCTCGTGCCTGAAGTAAAGCTCGTCTTCGGTTTGGTTGTCATAGAAGACGTGCTGGACTCTGTGGTGCTCGAAACCGTGGTCGTGCTCGACTCCGTGGTGCTTGTCAGCGTTGATGCGCTCGTGTCTGTCGTGCTTGTCAACGATGTCGCGCTGGTCCCTGTCACGCTTGTCACAGCGGATGTGCTGGTCTCGCTTGTGCTCGTGAGTGTGGATAAGCTTGATTGCGACGTGCTTGTCGACGACGTCGTGCTTGTCTGAGACATGCTGGTCACGCTGGTGGTAGTTGACCCTGTCGTGCTCGTCCAGGACATCGAGCTCGTCTCCGACAGGCTCGTCACAGAAAGCGTGCTGGTCTTTGTGGTGCTCGAAACCTTTGTCGTGCTCGACCCCGTGGTGCTTGTCAGCGTCGATGCGCTCGTGCCTGTCGTGCTTGTCAGCGATGTCGAGCTGGTCCCTGTCACGCTTGTCACACTGGTTGTGCTGGTCTCGCTGGTGCCCGTGAGCGTTGTCATGCTTGAATCCGACGTGCTCGTCAACGACGTCGTGCTTGTATCAGACATGCTGGTCACGCTGGTGGTAGTTGACCCTGTCGTGCTCGTCTGGGACGCCGAGCTCGTCTCCGACGCGCTCGTCACAGAAAGCGTGCTGGTCTCTGTGGTGCTCGAGGCCGTGGTCGTGCTCGACTCCGTGGTGCTTGTCATCGTCGAGGCGCTCGTGCTTGTCGTGCTTGTCAACGATGTCGCGCTGGTCTCTGTCACGCTTGTCACACTGGTTGTGCTGGTCTTGCTGGTGCTCGTGAGCGTGGTCAAGCTTGACACTGACGTGCTCGTAAACGACGCCGTGCTTGTCTCAGACATGCTGGTCACGCTGGTGGTAGTTGACCCTGTCGTGCTTGTCTGGGACACCGAGCTCGTCTCCGACGCGGTCGTCACAGAAAGCGTGGTGGTCTCTGTGGTGCTCGAAGCCGTGGTCGTGCTCGACTCTGTGGTGCTTGTCAGCGTCGATGCGCTCGTGCCTGTCGTGCTTGTCAACGATGTCGCGCTGGTCCCTGTCACGCTTGTCACACTGGCTGTGCTGGTCTCGCTGGTGCTCGTGAGCGTGGTCAAGCTTGACTCCGACGTGCCCGTCAACGAGGCCGTGCTTGTCTCAGGCATGCTGGTCACGCTGGTGGTAGTTGACCCGGTTTCGCTAGTCTGGGATACCGAGCTCGTCTTCGACGCGGTCGTCACAGAAAACGTGCTGGTCTCTGTGGTGCTCGAGGCCGTGGTCGAGCTCGACTCCGTGGCGCTTGTCAGCGTCGATGCGCTCGTGCCTGTCGTGCTTGTCAACGATGTCGCGCTGGTCCAGGTCACGCTTGTCACACTGGGTGTGCTGGTCTCACTGGTGCTCGTGAACGTGGTCAAGCTTGACTCCGACGTGCTCGTGAACGACGTCGTGTTTGTCTCAGACATGCTGGTCACGCTGGTGGTAGTTGACCCTGTTTCGCTAGTCTGGGATACCGAGCTCGTCTTCGACGCGGTCGTCACAGAAAACGTGCTGGTCTCTGTTGTGCTCGAGGAGGTGGTCGAGCTCGACTCCGTGGTGCTTGTCAGCGTCGATGCGCTCGTGCCTGTCGTGCTTGTCAAAGATGTCGCGCTGGTCCCAGTCACGCTTGTCACACTGGTTGTGCTGGTCTCGCTGGTGCTCGTGAGCGTGGTCAAGCTTGACTCCGACGTGCTCGTGAACGACGTCGTGCTTGTGCGACATGCTGGTCACGCTGGTGGTAGTTGACCCTGTCGTGCTCGTCTGGGACGTCGAGCTCGTCTTCGACGCGGTCGTCACAAACGACGTGCTGGTCTCTGTGGTGCTCGAGGCCGTGGTCGAGCTCGACTCCGTGGTGCTTGTCAGCGTCGATGAGCTTGTGCCTGTCGTGCTTGTCAACGATGTCGCGCTGGTCCCTGTCACGCTTGTCACACTGGGTGTGCTGGTCTCGCTGGTGCTCGTGAGCGTGGTCAAGCTTGACTCCGACGTGCTCGTGAACGACGTCGTGTTTGTCTCAGACATGCTGGTCACGCTGGTGGTAGTTGACCCTGTTTCGCTAGTCTGGGATACCGAGCTCGTCTTCGACGCGGTCGTCACAGAAAACGTGCTGGTCTCTGTTGTGCTCGAGGAGGTGGTCGAGCTCGACTCCGTGGTGCTTGTCAGCGTCGATGCGCTCGTGCCTGTCGTGCTTGTCAAAGATGTCGCGCTGGTCCCAGTCACGCTTGTCACACTGGTTGTGCTGGTCTCGCTGGTGCTCGTGAGCGTGGTCAAGCTTGACTCCGACGTGCTCGTGAACGACGTCGTGCTTGTCGCAGACATGCTGGTCACGCTGGTGGTAGTTGACCATGTCGTGCTCGTCTGGGAAAATGAGCTCGTCTTCGACGCGGTCGTCACAAACGACGTGCTGGTCTCTGTGGTGCTCGAGGCCGTGGTCGAGCTCGACTCCGTGGTGCTTGTCAGCGTCGATGAGCTTGTGCCTGTCGTGCTTGTCAACGATGTCGCACTGGTCCCTGTCACGCTTGTCACACTGGTTGTGCTGGTCTCGCTGGTGCTCGTGAGCGTGGTCAAGCTTGACTCCGACGTGCTCGTGAACGACGTCGTCCTTGTCTCAGACATGCTGGTCACGCTGGTGGTAGTTGACCCTGTTTCGCTAGTCTGGGATACCGAGCTCGTCTTCGACGCGGTCGTCACAGAAAACGTGCTGGTCTCTGTTGTGCTCGAGGAGGTGGTCGAGCTCGACTCCGTGGTGCTTGTCAGCGTCGATGCGCTCGTGCCTGTCGTGCTTGTCAAAGATGTCGCGCTGGTCCCAGTCACGCTTGTCACACTGGTTGTGCTGGTCTCGCTGGTGCTCGTGAGCGTGGTCAAGCTTGACTCCGACGTGCTCGTGAACGACGTCGTCCTTGTCTCAGACATGCTGGTCACGCTGGTGGTAGTTGACCATGTCGTGCTCGTCTGGGAAAATGAGCTCGTCTTCGACGCGGTCGTCACAAACGACGTGCTGGTCTCTGTGGTGCTCGAGGCCGTGGTCGAGCTCGACTCCGTGGTGCTTGTCAGCGTCGATGAGCTTGTGCCTGTCGTGCTTGTCAACGATGTCGCGCTGGTCCCTGTCACGCTTGTCACACTGGTTGTGCTGGTCTCGCTGGTGCTCGTGAGCGTGGTCAAGCTTGACTCCGACGTGCTCGTGAACGACGTCGTCCTTGTCTCAGACATGCTGGTCACGCTGGTGGTAGTTGACCGTGTCGTGCTCGTCTGGGACACCGAGCTCGCCTGCGACGCGGTCGTCACAGAAGACGTGCCGGTCTCTGTGGTGCTCGAGGCCGTGGTCGTGCTCGACTCCTTGGTCGCGCTCGGCTGGAATGCAGGAGGACGTGGAAGAAAAGCAGGATGGAGGGGGGAGGAGGAGGCGGATGAAAGCGAAAAGAAGGTGGAAGGCCACCCATGTGTAGATACTCTCCCTTTCTCCCCCGCCTCCTCTGATCTGGTCCACTCTGGCCTGCCCTGGTCTGATCTGGCCCTGCGTGGTCAGGCTTTGCCGCGTCCTGCGCGGCCCGTTTTTGCGAGGTCTGGCCGGGCCTGGCGTGGCGCGCCTCGGCCGACTGGAAGACCAGGAGGAACATGAGCACAGGGAAGGTTGTAAGGTTCTCGCCTGCTCAGGTCTCCTACGGCCCAAAGACAGCCCAAGAAGCCGACAAGCGGCCTCTAAGATATCTCCAAGACAGCTCCAATAGAGGCCTCCTAGATGGGGTCGGAGTGGATGGGGTCGGAGGATCGCGCCGCATCGGCGATACATCGCCGATGCATCGGCGATGCACTGGCGATGCATCGGCGACGTCGGCGTGGGGAAAATCGAGCTCCGCATCGGGCCGCATCGGCGATGCATCGTCGATGCGGCGCGATCCTGCGACCCCACCTACTCCGACCCCATCTAGGAGGCGTAGATCCAAGACAACCCAAGAGACCCCCCAAGTCGGCCCAGATAGGTCCGCGGATCGCCCACGGTGCTGGAGCGCTGGCGGGCAGCTGTTCGGGCGCCGCAGCGTGTGCATCCCGTCGCGGCCCGGGCAGGCTTTGCAGCGGCGGCCATCGTCAATGCTTGCCGCCCCGCCCCAGTCCTGCGGCGCACGCATGGGTTCTTGTGGCAAGTGTGGGTCGGGGTAGGGTGGAAGTGTGCGGGGTTCGCTTAAATGGGGCCCAAGGACACACACAAGTAGATAAGCACAAATCCCAGGATTCTCCTCGTTGTCCGATATCTTCTGGGCTTTCGTCTTCCCCCCCACCTCCCATAGTTTTCCATACTTCCCTGGGAGTCGCCGATTCGTTGTGTCTGTGTGCTGTTTTTCCCCTCCTGATTTTTCTTCGGCGACTCCGAAGGGCGTGGCCTGCAAAGGGTGCGGTTTGCGACCGACATCCTGGGAAGCACCCTGGGGGGCGGCCGAGGACCTCGGTTGAGCTCTCCGCCGAGCCCCGGGGAGGCCCGACGAGAACGGCGCCGTGCTCCCCAGGCCCAAGCGGTGCCGAGCGCAACCCGCACCCCGGCGTAACTCTACCCTTTGTGGTCGTAACCTTAGGTCGTGCATGTCCTCCTACAGGCGGCTTTGGAAGAAAAGTGGAGCAGAGTCACAACATCATCTAAAGCAATTGAAAGAGCACGAGCAATCGCCGCCATACGATTTGTTCTACCTATTCTTGAATACTCCTCCTGTAGAGGGACATGCCTGACTTAAGGCTGACCTGGGTGAGCTCGTGCGTTACTCCTTCACTACAGCTATCCGATGCTCCCACTCCACGAGCACTCGCAGTGCAGCTGGCGCAGCAGACAAGGAAGCAGCGTGTCGGCAGGCGCCCCACGGACACCTCTTCTCCCCCCAATGGCCCCCGGGGACCCACCGAAGCTCTGGAGCACCCGAAGAGCCGCGAGGTCGACTGATAACGTGCCCCAATAACAAGCTGTCCTATGGCATTCTGGAGTAAATGGGAGGAGAGCTGAGGGGACAACAACGGACACCTCCACACGAACAAGTCAGCGAAGCATGCGGTAAACCCCAAAGCCAATTCAAATATTCCGCGCAATCGAGAAGAGATGAAACGCCTGCGGCGCATAGACGGGTGGACGTCAGTCCTTTCCAGCAGGCGAAAGATTTGTTTCCCTTGTCGCCATTTCGTCTCCGCTCCAATGCGTCACTAGCCACGGGGCCTCAACCGCCACCCCCACAGCTCCGGAACTGGGTACTGCGAGGGCTTTTTTGGTTTTGTTTCCAGCAGGCGAAAGCTTCGTCTGGGCTCCGAGCGGAGCCGGCGCATCAATTCGGAGGCGATTCGGCTCCTACGGTTGAATGGTTTAGGCCTGCAAGGAGTAGAAAGGGGAGAGGGGCGGGCTGTGAAGCCGGAGTGGAGAGCAGACTCGTGCCTCGATTTGAACACAGGAGCTGCGGAAACCAAGCAGCGACATGGGTGTCATTTTCCTGGCGATGCTGCTTGAGAAAATGGCTCGAAATGTGGCCTGGTACGGAAGCCTCACCTCGCCCCTACAACTAAACGTGCAAGCACTGTGCACCCCCAAAACACGTTTTCCCCAACCATCCTGTGGTTTTTTCCGGGTGGCCAGACAACCGAGGCGACAGCGCGGCCCACGCGTGCCCGCGGCAGCTGATGCACCAAATTAGGGGGAGGAGGAGGAGGAGGAGGAAGACGAGGGCGGCCGGCACAGCCCGCCGCCGCCCGCATAGCAACGCTATGCAGGCTCCCGGAGCCCCAGCGCGGCAGCCGCCCCCCGCGGCCCGCACAGGAGCTAGGCCGCGGCGCCCTGCCCGAGGCGGGCGAGGACACGCGCCCGGAGAGCAGCCAGCCGCTCGGCCGGCGGCGGCGCCGAGGACGGCCGTGCCGCGGCCGCTCGCGCCTCGCAGATGGCCCGCGTGGCCGCGTCGGCAGCGGCGGCGCGCGCAGCAGAGGCCGCGCGAGCTGCTGTGGCCTGCGCCGCGCGCCGTGCCCCCAACGCGCGCGGGCGGCCGGCGGCCGCGGCAGGCAGCAGCGCCGCGGGCGGGGGCGGCGCCCCCGCGGGCAGCTGCGGTGCCGGCGGCGCGTGCCGCGGCGGGCGCGCCAGCGCCCGCGGGCGCCGGACGGCAGCCGCGCCACGCACCGTGACGCGCCGGATGGCGCCGCCAGGCCCGACCAGCTCGCGAATGTGGTGGTTCGCGGCGTGGGTGACAGCCCCCAGGACCGCACCCTCGTGTGCCACGAGGAGCTCAGCCTCCCGGAGGAGCCGGGCGCCCGCATCACACTCCGGCGGGCACCCCGCAGCAGCCTTGGCGACGGCATCCACCAAGCGATTTGCACGCCAGTCCACCGCGGTAACGACGCCGCCGTCGGATCGCATAGCTGCGCCGATGCAGGCCGGAGTGCCGTGCGCTGGCATCCACGTCAGCTGGCCGGACGTGACCAGCTCCGACACGTCGCCGTCCAACAGCGTAGCCACGCGCGACCAGACCTGCGCAAGCAAGCGCGTGGGCTTGGCAGCGCACGCCGTGCCAGCCGCAGCGACCGTGAGGATGGACTGGCAGTCGGTGCGGATGCGGGGCGGCACCAGGGCAATGGCGAGCACAAGCGAAACGGCCCACAGCTCCGCCGCCGCCGCTGTGCGAATCCAGGGAGGAGGCACAGCGCTGCCGAAGCCCACGAGGTCCCCACGATCGGAAACGACCGCGATTCCAACTCCAGTCCGGCGGAGCTCCCATAGCGGCCCGAACTTCATGGACCCATCAGTGTACCAGATGAGGTCGTCACGGGTTGCGTCCGGCGGCGTCGTGAACCAGCGAACGGCGACCTCGTCCTGTGCCACAGGGCGCGGCAGACGAAGCGCCAGGAAACCGCGCGCGCGAAGGAGCGCGGCCCGGGCCTCCGAGAGCGTGGAGAGGAAGCCCTGGCACGCTTCCGGGGGGCGCGGCCACCCATCTGGCGGCACCGTCGCCTCGCAGACGCGGCGGTGCAAGAGCGTGCCCAGCGCCGCGCCGCAAAGCTGGCAGTTCCTATCCTCGACGCCATCGGCACCCCGCAACCGGGCAATGCGGACCTGGGGCCACTGGCCGCCGGTAGCTGCGGAGAGCAGCATCGACCGGCACTGCTGGGACCACTGCGGAACGGTGCGGTGCGGCCGCCCCTGGCCCTTCAGGAGGCGCGCAATGGGGCGCTCCACGAGGACCGTGAACGAGTCGGCGCCCTGGGCGGTCGGCAAATCCGGCGGGCCGTCGACGATGGTGGGCAGCTCGGAGACCACGCGCTTGGTGCGCCACCTGTCGACAGATCTGTGCACAGCGGCCGCCACCATGGCAGGCGACATGAGGATGAAATCCACAGGCTCCCCCAAGTCATCCAAAAAGCGTCTTGGAGAGGGGCACCGCCACCCGAGTCGCCAGGCCGTGGCAATGACAGCAGCCGCTGGGCCAGCAACGGCGGCCCACGGTGATCTGCCGCTCGCCGCGATCACGGCCAACCATCCTGTGGTGTTGGGTCCTCGTTTTGAAAAGACAAAGCCCCGCGTCTCACTCCTCCTCCTCTTCCTCTTGCTCCTCCTCCTCCTCCTCCACCTCGTCCTCCTCCTGCTCCTCCTCCTCCTCCTCCTCCTCCTCCTCCTCTCCTCCTCCTCCTCCCGCTTCTCCCTCCTCCTGTCACCCCCCTCACTTTGGCACACCCCTCACACGCTTCGTGGCCCCATAGGGGGCTACACCGAAAGCCCCAGTGGCTGCGCCCGCATGCCGCCAACCCCCCTCACTTTGGCACACCCCTCACGCGTTTCGTGGCCCCATTGGGAACTCCACCGACGGCGCAATGGGCTGCGGCCGCATGCCGCCACCCCCCTCACTTTGGCTCACCCCTCATACGTTCCGTGGCCCCATGAGGAGCTCCACCGAAGGTCCCAGTAACTGCGCCGGCATGCCGCCACCTCTCTCACTTTGGCACACCTCTCACACGTTTCGTGGCCCCATAGGGAACTCCACAGACGGCGCCATGGCCTGCGGCCGCATGCCGCCACCGCCCTCACTTTGGCTCACCCCTCATACGTTCCGTGCCCCCATGAGAAGCTCCACCGAAGGCCCCCAGTGGCTGTGCCCACATGCCGCCACCCCTCTCACTTTGGCACACCTCTCACACGTTTCGTTGCCCCATAGGGAGCTCAACCGAAGGCGCCAGTGGCTGCGCCCGCATGCAACCACCTCCCTCACTTTGGCACACCCCTTACACGACTCGTGGCCCCATCAAGAGCTCCACTGAAGGCCCGAGTGGCTGCGCTCGCATGCCGCCAGCCCACCATTGGGGTTCACCCCTGACACGTTTCGTGGCCC